CCCCAAAACCCCAAAACCCCAAAACCCCGCTTGTATGAGTCCAAATTGATCGCTTTTAATCAGCAAATATGAAATCAGAAGATATCTGATTTGAAAGTGTCTCTCCCGTAATCAGTGTCTTTTCCAATTTATCCAAGAATTCTTTAAGTCTTTTGGCATCCTCTTTCTTCTTTTGCAGATATTCCACTGATTCGGGTGTCTCTCTATTTTGGTTATATCCTTCAGTTGCACTTACTCTTGAATACCTAATTTCTGATCCATTAGGTAGGTAAAGTTGGCATTTTTGATAAGCTTTATTAAAGGGCTGTCCTTCTCTAAACCAAATGAGGGAGGCCTTACCGATATGTCTATATTTCTTGAATCCACTCTTTTTGATAATGCCATCAACTTCTTTCCGTGAGCTTGCCCCAAACTCTAGCTTCTCCAGTTTGGAGATGGAGGAGGTACTACCTTCTGAGAATGTGGGGTGCTTATTCTAAAAATTACCAATAATTTACGATTGATTTGGAGTTTTGTTTTATTGGAGAAATATTTATCCGAGTGCCCAACTTGTCAGCACTCTGATGACTCTTACGAGCCAACTTTTTCTTAGACTCTCTGAAGTTTATTCTTTCGTAAAGCTATTGGTCAGGATTTTTCGATTACTTTTGATAACTGAATTTTACGTTTCACAGAATATGGTTGTTTAAAATTAAGATATTTATCATCCAATGGCTTCTCCATTATATAATCAAGATTTGGCTGGATGACTTCAAAATTTGTATTGATCATTTCCTTGAGGATGTCCTCTTCAGTCACCTTATTTTTATCGTCTTGGGAAGCAGACCTTCTATAATGTTATTGAGAGAACCAACCTAGTTCCTTCTTCATTAAAGCGAAGCTCCTTGATCCTCTTTATAACCTTGCTGATAATCTCTACGTATCTGCCAGATTTAGAATGTTTATCGGAAAGAGACTTTTTAGGGTAAAGAAAAGGCTTTAGCTTCTTCTTCTCTATAAAATTCTGTATATTTATCTCCTTCGTAGGTGCAGCTGATGGTTGAGTATTTAAGTCTCTGTTATAAACTACCACTCTAGGCTTCTCTACTTCATTATCAATGATGTATTTAATAACTCCCTTCCCTTTAACTTGATAGTCAATGCCTTGGGCTACAGACTCGATTTCTTCCTCGCCTGCAAAATTGTCTGTGATCATGAAATGTATTGGCCCTAGAAATATATAAGGGCTTTACTTGTTTTTATCTTCATCTTTCTCTCCTCAAGCTTAATGAGGTCTACCTCTTTGTTGAAGATGACTTCTATTGGAATGTCTGACTCTTTTATTTTCATTTTGTTGAACCTTGTGTTTGCAAAAACCATCATTGATCCTATTTGTGATTAAGTTTGAAATATACCATCATCTCCAATATTTCTCTCCGGCCGAAAAATGATATCTTTGGTCTTGAACTTGGTCTTCATGGACTGAGGGTACTTTAGCTGAGCAGTTTCATGGTTAAAGTAATCATTCAGGTCAATTTTAGTCTCCTGATTTGGGTCATCCAACTGTTTATTTCACTATAGTATCTACTCTTTTTTTCTGGATTGGGTCTAATTTTACTGTTGAGAACTCATTTTGGTTAGATAACAGTCTCTCCCGTTTGTTTGAAGGAGTATATAAAGGCTTCTGAGATCCTCTTCTGTTAGATATCGTAGAATTTTGAAATTTTAAAGTATTCACACTATGTACAGATTCACCACCTGTTCTCTTATCGCTCCGAGAAGTTTTCTTCTTCATCCAAAATTTATTCCTTGCAAATTTTTGAATCATTTTTGATCCAATTTTTCTTTGTTCTAGGAAAGCTGTGGTGATATTTGAATTTTTGTTAAGTTCCTCTATGGGGTAAATTCGAGAGATCTTTTTCTCAACCAATTTAGAAGTGAACATATTCTTTGGCTTCCGGCTTCCTTTAAAATTTAATTTTATACTGGATCCTGTATTTATTGAGCTAACCTTATCATGAAGTTTGATATTGTCCATCTGTGAGAAGGAGCCTGAGATAATCTTGCTTGTGTTCTTTTTCTTCATAGATCTCTTTCTGTTCAGAGTTGGGCTAGGTAATGGGCTATCTTCAACAGATTTCTGAACCTAAAGCTATAATGTATGGACGAACATTTGTTTGAGGTCGTTTAGCTGAAATGGTCATATTTGATTTTCCATAATATTTCTCAATATTCTCTTCGAATTCGTTCACAGAAATACTGTCGAAGGACACCATTTTAATTAGTTGATTCCTCTCATATTTCTACAGAACACAGGTTAGCGAAGGGTCTAGAAGGAATAGCTAGACATTTGTTTAAGACTTACTGTTAATTCTCTGCATTCTTTTTGCTCTCATCTTCTGAACATCAGAATGTATTTCTTCAGTTTCGTTTATGAACTTCCAGTATGTTGGAAATAAGGTCACTGGCTTAGAGTCTAAGTTTATAGATTATATCAATTCAGGCATGAAAATTTCTGAGAGTATGGTAAGGGCGGGGCTCAAAAGGAAATTTATTTTTGGAAAGTTCTTACCATAAACATCCATTGACCTTCTCCTCATAATTCTGGGTTTATATTTCTGTAGAGTATTATGAATCAGGTATCGCTTTGTGTAAGGAAATTTCCCTTTTTGGCTTGGATGGTATTCACCAGACGGATTGTTATTGGGAACGATATCACTAACTGACTGATTATGAAATTGCCCTTTTCTTAAAGGATTTCTTATTTTCATTTTATTTGACTTGATTATATTCAATATTATGAAAATAAGTAGGGGTTTTGGGGTTTTGGGGTTTTGGGGTTTTGGGGTTTTGGGGTTTTGGGG